CTTTCGCCCGCCGGCCCCGGCCAAACCCCCCCGGCCCGAGCTGAGCGCCGAGGCCATGGCTGCGCGGCGCTGGAGGGCTCTCCCGCCCGGGAACCTTTCCGACTGCCCCAACGGCTCCCGCTGGGTGATGGACGTGTTCGACGAATGCGCCCAGGACGGCCGCGACATCGCCAGCGTCGTCCTGGGTCTGGTTTCCATCTTCTGCTTTGCGGCTGCGTCTTTTCCGTAAGTGTCGCTCCCAAAACGCGGCCGAGCCCTTCCCTTGGGTAAAACGTTCCTCTCTAAAAATCAAATTTCAAGCGCGAGCTGCCTGAATGATTAAATCTACCTGGCCAGAGTAATTTAAGCATGGAAAATTTGGGTTTAACAGGAGGAGAGGGAGCAGGCGGTACAGCCCCAAGGCCTTCTTTGTTTTTGTATTCGTATTATTCTGCTCAGCAGCTGTAATAACCCACGTAAGCCAACTGCAATGCAGTCGTTGCAGATCATACGTGCGGAAGAACTGTTTCCAGGAGCCCTGGGCTTCTTGGAAGTGCCGGGACACCCGTGGCAGAGGGGGACGCAGGGGGTCACGCTCCGTCTCGTTGTATCATGAGATTATTTCATAACCAGAGAGGCGGTTTCTTGCAGCGGGTGCTTCTCCTCGCTGCCTTCCGTCCCCGCACGAGGGCTCGAGCCCAGCAGGTTGCTGCGAGCACCCACTGGGTCGCAGGACTTGCCACGGCGGCCAGGCTGCTGGGGAGCGCGTGGCTTTGCTAGAGGAGATCTCTGCTTTTTCTCCCCGCCGTGTGCTTTGTGAAATGGTCCAGGTGAGACCAACAGGGAAGGCTGGGGGTGCTTCCCTGGGAGCGCTGACCCGGCCGGGGGCTGTGCTTTGTGTCTCTGCCCACCTCTCTCTCCGCAGGCAGTTTTACCAGGCCTGCAAAACGGGCATCATGGACCGCGCGCTCTCCATATATTTCCTGCTGGGATGGCTGGGCGGAGACCTCCTAAACCTCATCGGTTCCTTCCTGGCCGATCAGTTGCCCCTGCAGGTACCGACCGACTCGCTGGGGCTGGCCCGGCTCTCAAACGCCCCGGACTCCAGGGAGGAGGGATGGGATGGGCACTGCTTCGTCTGGTACTGGGAACCAGAGACCCCGACAGTGCTGGGATGCTCCCTTCTCCCCCGGGATGCGGTGCTGTGCCCCGGGATGCTGGCTCATCCCAGACATCAGCTGGAAGCCTTTCTGCGGGTAGGACCAAGCCGTCCTTCTCCCCGCAGGTTTACACGGCCGTTTACTACGTGCTCGCAGACCTGGTGATGCTGTCTCTCTACTGCTACTACAAAGTGAAGAACCGGGGCAGAGGATGTGAGTTGGGGTTGCGAGGGGGCTGGGGCCATGCTCTCCCCTTGGCGCGTCCTTGGGGCTGGCTTGTCCTCGGCTGCAGAGCTGGGAGAGGAAGCAAGCCCTGGGGGAGGTGCATCGGGGCAGTGATGCTTCACAGATGCACTGATGCAGCTATTTGATGCTCCTTGTTGCTTGCTGGCTTTTTTCTTAGATAATCTGAGCACCTATGAAAGCCACAGCTGGTAAAAAGCTACCAGCCGTGCCCAGGGCTTCTGTAAACCCCTGCAAACTGCCGTGCCCGGGCTGAAAATAAACCCCCTGTGAGCTGCATGAAGTATAGAAAGAAATTACTTACCCGCAGTTATATGGTGACTCCGTGCTGGAGCTGAAAAGCACAACCTCTTGACTCAGGCCAGCGCTTTAAGGGCAGGGGTGAAGTTTTCTGGCTGTTTCGGGGTCAGCACTCCTCTTGCAAGTAAGCCTTGACATGATGGAGAAGTTCCTCCCTGTTCAAATGGAGTAAAAAGGGAACCTGAACAGTTCTTGCAAGGCTTAAACAGCAAAAGAAAATGCACTTTTTAGCTTTGCAGCTTTCTGTGAACTACAAACAGGCATCCCTTGGGACCTGGATAACTATTTAACTCATTAAAACCATTTTAACTTATTAAACCCATTGGTATTTGGCCCAACAACTGTATAGTTTTGTTAATGCTGGAGAGCTTCTTTACAGAATATAACACAAGCTTTGCTGTCGAAGCAGGGCTTGCTCTGGCAGGGATTTGAACGTCCACTGTTGTGAGATAAGACAGTGAAAAGCTTCTAAACAGGGGGGATGATTTTTAAGAGCCCCACGGCCAAAGAAACTCAAGTGCTCTCGGTCTGCGGAGATAGGAACGGTTTCCTCCCTGATAACTTGCAAATTGCCCGTATCGTGGTGAGATAAATCGTCTGCGGCAGCTATTGCCCGGGTTACTTGGTGCCGGCTGTGCCGCCGCAGAGATAAGAGAGA